TCAGAGGGGGGGTCAGAGGGGGGGTCAGAGGGGGGTCAGCAGAGGGTCAGAGGGAGGTCAGAGGGGAGCCTAGGGTGGGGCCTAGGGTGGGGTCAAACCCAGGAGGACCAAGCAGGGTCTCCATCCTGGCATCGGATCCACAGACTGACCTTTAACATCTAGAACCATTCCAGGGAAGGTCAGGCTGCTGATCAGGCCGTCCATCTTGGCCGACCAGGTCTGGATCGGCTGGCGAGTCTCGTTCCAAAGAACCACCTTGGCTGCAGGTTCCACGCTACCCATGACTTGCAGACACATGGTGGGGCACAGCTGTGGCAGAACAGAGGAAGCTCAGTGTCAATCTATGCAGTCTAGATCTATGTGTAACCTTAGGAACGAGTTTAGGGTTCCAGCGTCTGTGTTTTCACCTTGTTTTTAATCAGTCCATCTTGGTAGAACCAGATGTCGCTGGGAGGCTCCACCTCCGCCGTCGCCACCACCCGACCAGACTTCATTTCCTCCACTCCTCCCTGCACCGACAGGAAGTGACCGCTCTCCTGGTTCTTCACCCGGAAAAGGTGCTGCTTCTGCAGGAGGAGGACGTGGAATCAGTCAGATGTTTCCTCACCGAGCTTCTCTCTAACCGGGCTGCTGCAGACGGGCTAACGTTAGCCCTGGCTGAGGTTAGCCTCGGAGCTCAGCTGGTTGCCGCGGTTCTCTCAACATCACAACTTTTTAATTAAGCACTAAATCAGTCAATTATATATAATATAGTGAAGCTTAAAGTATAATTTTCTGGCCTAAAATGATCCTAAAACGTACTTTTATAAAACAACAGCAACAGAAAAGAGAACTTTTAACTTTATACTGGAAGCTGCTGCGGTGCATGCTGGGTAAAGAGGGAGGGGCCAGAACAATATCCAGGGACTTTGTCGGTCTGCTGTTCTAGTGAATTGGACTAGGACTGAATACTCCATGTGTACTTGTGCACGAGGATGCACAAGTACACATGGTGAGAAACGGCCAATGACTCGGCTGATGCTTTCAAACCAAAAGGCTTCAATGAGCGGATTGGTTAACCTACCTGTCTGACGGGGTACAGGGAGCCAATCGAGTGCAGCGAGCTGAACTTGGGCCAGTTTGGGATTTCTATTGGTTCCAGGAGGAACTGGCGCCCCCTGTAGTTGGTATGTTCACATAACACCCAACTTCACAACAGAGAGAGACCAAGTTAGAGTCAGCTGGCAGACAAACTGGTACAGACTGGGACAGACTGGTACAGACTGGGACACAGACTGGGACAGACTGGGACACAGACTGAGACAGACCAGGACACAGACCGGGACAGAGACCGGGACACAGACCAGGACACAGTCTGGGACAGAGACCGGGACAGAGACCGGGACAGAGACCGGGACACAGACTAGGAACTCCACTGACCAGCCGCTTTTGACTCGGACAGATAGGATGTGGTTGCTGTAGCCTTCCTGGACCAGACTGACGATCTCGGACTCGGCGGTGATCTCCCTGCCCTCCAGCCCCTCAAGTCCAAACAGAGAGATGGACGGAACCGACAGCGTCTGTCCAAACAGAGGGACATTAGGACAGACCGCCACTCAGCATTCAGAACCAAACCTGGAGAGCTTCAGGTTCCTCACCATCGGAACCAGTTTGATGGAGAAGACGGAGCAGCTGGAGGAGCAGCCCATGCTGGCCGGACTGGGGTAGTCTTCCTCCGATAGAACGAACATATTCCCAGAGAACTGCTTGTTCTCACAGAGGACCCAGCTGGAAGACAGAGACACGCCTTAACGCCGTCCTTCACCCTCCTCATCATCGCTCCACTAACGCAGCGATGAAGACGCCTCCCAGAACCGTCTCCATCCAGGTTCCACTGATGACCTCAGTCAGAGCACACCTTCAGGCCTGGAGGCAGCATGGCGGCTAGGCCGTTACCATGGTAACTGGGGGGATGTTTATAATCTGAGCCATCGGTTCAGAAACCTTTGATCTTTTTATGTTAATTGGAACCAAAGCAGCTCGTTGAGGTGATCCAATGGTACCATAGTACCGTCCCTCAGCACAGCCATCATGACTGCAGGGACTAACTGGGCCGGTTCTGGTTTACCTGAGGAGGTCAGAGCTACCTGTCCTGAAGCAGCGTCTGATTGGTCGTCTCTGGAAGGGAATATTCTGCTGATCAGAACCAGAACCACTGAGCTGAGAAGCTTCTCTCTCTGTTTGCATCACTTCTGTTCAAGAAGTTTCCTATCCAGGTCCAGATGGAAGAGAACCTTCTGGCCTGGAGGTCAATACTGGTTTCTACTGGTTTAAATGGGTTTCTACTGGTTTTCCTTGGGCAGAAAGTCCCAGCCTGCTGCTCACCTTCCTCTCACCACCCGACACGACTTGGTGAGAAACCTCTCTGCCAGCGCCCCCTGGCTGTGATGGACCACCAGACGCTCTCCCTGGAAGTCTGCTTCAGAGAAGAGGATGATCTGGTGGAAAGGAGAACCAGTAGAACGTCACCAGAACCAGAGAGGGAACTTCCTGAGTCTCTCTGAGTACGCTAATCCAGGTTCTGATCCAAACTCACCTCATCTTTGGGGGAGGAAGCATCTGCTGGAGCCTGAAACACAACAACATATGAGTCAAAGCAGCTGAGCTCCATCTGGCTGCTCTCCAGAACATCTGATTGGACCTCACCGGAAGGATGGGCTGGACCGAGCAGACCCGGCTGTCCTGGGAGCCCCAATCAGCACAGTTATTGTAGACTCCTTTCTCCAGGATGTACTGGTTCCCTGAGAAGTCCACGTGGGAGTAGGCGATCCACCTGCGACGGAGTGAGAGTTTGAGAAGGAGGGGGAGCAGACACCTTTTTGTTCTCCTTCATGAGAAACAAAGCTTGAAGAGCAGATTTATCTCCATATTTGCTGACCTGCAGCACCATCTCCAATCAGACAGTAAAAAAAGGTGTCAGATAAATATATATATTATTATATTATTATATATATATATTATTTTTCTTTCAGAATAAACTCTGATCTACCTCTATAGTTCTGCTGCTATAGGCTTAGACTGCTGGAGGACATAGGGACCCCTTTTTCATCATTCTGCTTCATTCTATCTCTGTCCACATATTCTGCTTTGAGCCATTTTAGACTCAGTGGCCACTGTTTGAACAATGCATGGGATAAATTCAGACACTGGGAACCAATACTTTGACTTTTCTTTAATATTTTATTCCTATTCAGCTACAGAAGCGTCTTTTAGTCCCTGAAAATTGTTCTATAAATGAGACTATAGCTCAGTAATTTATTGATATGCAGCATAATGCTGTAGAAAAGGTGACTCTATGCGATGATGGATGAAGGCCTCATCATGTGGCCGTCTCTTCTTCTTCTCTTCCTTTCTGTGAAGCTGATGGAGGAGGACGCCATGATGGAAACCCAGAAAGTCCCAGAGCTCAGACGGACCGAGGCCAAGTGGTTCTGGTCGACATTCCAGAACCAAACAGACCGTTTTTCTTGTAGTTTCAGATGGTTTAGATGCTGACTGGAGGGCGAAGCCTCCTTAGCCCCCCCCCCCCATTATCTTTCCAAATGATGTTTTATTAAATTTATTGATTTATTAATTTATTGGTTTTCACTGATTTCCTTCTTTGTTCATAATCGTTTAGTTTGACTGGTTTTTAGTCGAGAGTTTTGAACTGGAATCTGTTTAACTTGGAACTGAATGATTTTTATTAATAAAATCTGATTTTAATGGAAGTTTCAATAAATTTATTCCAAATTTGAGCAGAATTATAATTTTGCTCCATTCACATTTTTATCTGTTGTTCCAACTCACAGCCAGCAGGGGGCGGAAGTTCATTAACAATATGGCAATCTGAATATGATCTTATTAAATAATGCTCCCTACTGGGGGGGGGGGATCACAGCAGAAGGACTCACGCTCCGCTGAGGACGTGGATGGAGCGGGTGGAGGTCTTATAGTCGAACAGCTCCACGTCAGGGATGGCCTCCGTTACCTCAAAGGCCTTCTCCTCCTCCATCCCGCCCCCCTCTTCCTCAGAGTGCTCAATCATCACCATCACTGGATCCGTCAGGTCCTGGGAAAGGGACAGGAAGTGGACTCAGAGTCCAGACGGGGACAGACGGGTCGATGCTCCACCATGCTGCAGGTGGAGCTAAAGGCGAAGCTCTCAGAGCGACACCTTCAGTGCAGCAGCATCTCCACCTACCGCCTGGATGATCCTGACGGAGCGCAGCTCCGAATCGCAGCCCCCCCACACTCTCCAGTCGTGATAGTCCCCCTCCTCCAGCAGGTACTGGTGTCCCCGGAAGCCCTCCTTCTCGTAGCCCACCCAGCTGGAACAGCAGAGGAACCAACCATCAGACCTGAGGAGCAGCTTCCAGAACCTTTTGAGGCGCCGGCACTCACATCCCCCCCAGGACCTTCAGGGAGCCCAGACTGCCCATGAAGACGCTCTGCTGGTGGTCCGTCCGGCTCATGAAGTCCCTCATGTTGGAGCTGATGGTCCTGGATTTCCCAGTGAAGTACGGCTTCTCGTAGATCACCATCTGAGGACAAACGGGGAACGTTGGTCTGTTGGACGCCTGCAGCATGAAAAGCAGGCGGTGCTGAAGGTTCTCACCTTGGGCTCCCTCATGTTCTCCACCCGAGGTTCTCCCTGTCACAGAACCACACTCAGCTTAAAGGCTCCTTCAGCCAGAAGGTTTGATCTTCAGGGAAACTCACCACTTTGAGAGGATGCAGCGACGCCACGTAGGGAGGCTCCCCCCCCCAGGCTGCAGGGGTGGAGTACCCCCCCACCTCCAGGATCCGAGGGGCGCCCTGGAAGAAGGGCTGCATGAAGACCAGCCAGCTGTGGAGCAGAAGAACATGATGAAGGTCCTGAACAGGCTGCAGGCGGACCGCCATGTCCTCAGGGAGACTCACAGCCCAGAGTTCACGATGATGGAGTTGGCTTTGACGGGGAACCCGAAGATCCGCGCGTCCTCAGACGTGTCCCGGAACACCACCTTCTTTCCCTCGGCGTTCTCCTCCGGGAACAGACTGATCTCTGGAACGCTGTAGTCCTGAGGAACGCCGGAGAACAGAGACCGGAGAAAATAAACG